AAAAAAAGAAGAGAGAGAGAGAGAAGCCTGGGAAAAAGGGAATCGGCGAATGGACGAGATGAGGAATAAGACGATAGTCTTGTCTTCCCAGTTGCTTCATTAGATGCCTCCCTCCTCCCCTGCACTCGGTCACTTGTCCATCTGCCTGACCTACCTATTCTTTCGCCCTTTGTTTCTACTGGCCAACCACCTCCAGACCACCATCTCTGTCTAACCTATGCATACTATACATTTCCATCTAATCAACTGTCTGCCAGGTGACGATTTGATGCCGATATCGTTACAAGGGAGCTCTTCATCCACACCACCAAAGCCAGAGAGGGGGAGAGGACGAAGGACCCCCCCACCTCCCCCTTGTGTGCTCGTCAACATGTGTTGGTCGGTATGCTACATCTACGGTTGCGGATGTGAGCAGACGACGACCTTTAGCTGTCTGGAGCCCCCGTTCCCATACGACCCGCTAGGCACTCACGCCCAACACTCGGTAGCCATGCTCAAAGAGTGTTGCTTCACATGCGAGTCATCCAACCCCATCATCCCCTCACGGCTCGCGCACGACGATTCGTCCATGTCGCTCGACCAACCTGCTCAGATCCAACCTCGCGATACTACCGAAAGGCCCCCTCTGCGAGAGTTGTGCCTAAATCTCATTCCTCGGCTGATGCAGCAGGACGCCGAAAACCTAGGATTCAGCTAGCTTGGCACCAATACTTGGACGCCCGCTTTCGTCGGTTCACCATTTCTTGTGGGGTGCTTTCAGGACAGACTCGTTTGAGGTCCAATGACCTTGAAAGGGGTGAACCAAGCTCAAGAAAAACAACAAGAGCGGCGAGGTTTTGTCCCGGAATATAGGTTCAAATCAATCTCACTTGCCGAGAGTCACAGGCTAAGCGTTGGCCTCAATTCTTGCATGAATATGTAAAATGAAGCCCAAGAAGGGGGGGAGCCTTCACTGCTTAGAATCAAATTATCGACACTATTTCAAATGAGAGGTGTCTGTGCATGTATAAGTTGACAGATACCCTGGCTTGTTTGTTGCGAATGCATTTACTAGTGGACGTGATCAGAAAGACTTGCTCGGTATTTGATGCCATTCTTCATTATCCAGCCAAGTATGTGCTCCAACATCTGCCCAACTCAAATCACCCGTGAAGGAGGCATCTTGACATGTGTGTGTGTGTGTATCGGTTGTGCAGCCAACTTGCTTGTGACTTTGTCAAATATCACTGTTCAAGCTCCATTTCCATTATGCTGAACACGTCCCTTGTTTACCTCAAGACTTCCAGCTTGATCCCAAAACGCCTTTTAATGCCCACGAAACAAAATAGATATATTTATATATCTTCCTTTCTATATGTATACACATGTGTATGGATATCTCCCTGCAGAGCTTCGTGTCGTCAATCGTGAGTCTATTGTACTTGAACCAACAAACCAATTTACATCATGACTTGAAGTGGCAAATGCTTAGGACCCAAAGTCCATCTTGAGAGCAATACTGGGTTGCCCGGTGTTATCAGTGGTAGTCTTGTTGCTGTCGCCAGTCGCACGTCCGGACTTGATCACTTCCTCCATAAAGGCCTTCTGTCCCTCACTCATGGCTGCCACGACACCCCTGAAAGCGGCAGGATCCGCCGAAGCCATTTCGAGAAGCCTGATACTGGTCTCACGGTGCACTTCCATGCCCTCGCTAGAAGCGCGCGACAAGAGCGCCGGCGCCACGACAGCCATGACGATCTGAGCATGGTCCTTGTCCACACCAGCAACATACTGCGTCAATGTGTGGGCAATGAGTCGGCGCGCATTCTCAGGGTCCTCGGGCTCCGTCGCAGTCACGAAGGCGATGAGTCGTGGGAGCAGGTATCGGGCAATAGACTGGTCCGCCACTGTGGGCGACGACTGTAGCAATAGAGACCGGACGCAGTTGGCGGCGATCTTGGCCGTCTGTGTATTCTAGTTAGGAGTTGATGCAAATTTTCCAACAAAGTGTCGTGTGATATATATATATATATATATAAATCAAGATACTATGAACAAAGGACAAACAACTCACCATTCGGTCCGATAGACAATCCATTAACTCGTCCAAGAAGCGCACGACGACGGCATCATTGGCTGCCAAGCAGTTTTGGCCGCCAGTAAATAGAATCGTCACAGCCAACAGGCAATTTTTTACGCACAACAGTGAGCTGGGTGCCTCACGCTTTTGGGCATTGAGGTAGATGGACAGGAAACGACGCAAGCACCCCTGCAGCTGGACAGCGGAGTGGGGTCTGTTGCTGTTGTTGTTACCTGCCGTGGCAGCAGGGCCAGATATACTCGTCATGAAGCGCTTCAGCTCGGGCAGAGCCTGGGGCACAATGACTTCCTGGCAAGATGGCGTGGCCAGCACTGTGGCAAATATGTGGATAATGCAAGCGTGCAGGTCCGTCTTGATGATCGCCGGGAACACCTCGGCCGCGTCCACAATGGCATTCAGGGCCGACCGGATGAGCAGTACGGCTTCCTCAGTCAGCTGATGCCGAGCCGTCTGGTGGGCTTCCGTCAAGTTGGGGAGGAGCCCCGAAAGGACAAGAACAATGATGCGTGTCAGTTCAAAGAGCTGTTCGATATCTTCCGAGAGATCTCCGCTTTCGGGCTGTTCCTTCTTCCTCGCCGACGGATGGGCTACACAGAGGGCCCTTGCAATCTCGACAATGACACCTTGCACGTCGAGGCCCTCGGTCAGCACGAGGCGGTCGAGCAGGTCCATGGTCTCGGAGAAGATGGCTTCCCTGTATATGGCATGACCCGAGACGCTCGGGTGGAGAATCTTCTTCAGTGCCTGGAGGATTTCCAGCGTCTGCTCCTGAGTTGCCAAGGAGTCTGTCTGACCCGGACGCGTCGCCAATGCCTCAAAGGCGATGCCAAACAGGACAAAGAAAAAGGCCACAGGCTCATCACGGTAGTTGATATCCGAACCCTTGGCTTGACCGTTGGTTGACGGCCCCTCGATCTCTTTCCCGTCTAGTGCGTCAAACACAAAATCGCTGTCTTGCTCAATGAGGCTCGCGATGGCGTCTACAAGCTTCAACCATGAGTCCTGATAAAACTTCAGGAGCGTTTCGCGATTCAAGGCAGCATATATGGTGTCGAGGCTGCCTGAGAGGGACGGCGGGCCAAGAGTCATGGATATGTCTGGTTCGAACCGTAGACGGGCAAACTCTCGGAGAGAAGCTAGCCACAGGGGCGTGAGCGTACCAATATGTGGCTTCAATACGTTCAGCAGGTACTTTTGCTCCAGACTGGCCACCTGGAGATCGGCCCAGGCGGAGAAGACGGACATTTTAACCATGATCTGAGCATTGGAGCTTAGGCCTTGAAGATCGCCAATCCCCGCGTGCTCCGACTCATTTGAGAAGTTTTCCAGGGCCGTGACGAGTGTCTTCAGGATACGGCCCATTCTGTCCACATCGGTCACAATGCCAGTCGATATAAATGCAGCACAAACGTTTACGGCTTCTGAGGCCAACTCGGGAGAGGAATCGGCGGCAAAGGCAGGCGTCAGAGCGGAGCTGATTTGTGCTTGGTACTGCTCGAGAAGCATCGCCTCCTCAAAGTCGGGATCTGGCGTCTTTCCAAACATGCGCAATACCGACCCGATAATCTTCAGGCCCCAGATCCTCAATTCGAGTACACTGGATGTCGAGGCGGAGAAGCCCATGCGCACAACGTCAGCGATACGAGCCTGCAGGGCCGCCTGTGCCGGTGATTCGCCATTGGTTGCAATATCCTTGTTGATGAGAAGGAATATCTCATTCAGGCAGCTCATGGCAAAAGTGCGGACTTGCCATCGCAGTGGCTCGACCTCGGAGCTTGCGGCCAACTCCTTATCGTCCTTGGCGGCCCCGACGGCGGCAGCGGCAAAGCCAGCGACTTCTTCATCTTGCAGATCTACGGCAGCATTGGGTTTGGACGCGCCAGCACGGTTCTCCTCGACAGCCTTTTTCCTCGTCATCTTGAGCACATTCTGGAGGCGCTGGAGCCATGAGGCCGTGTCACTGAGGCACGACTGCCTAACCCAGTTACGGATAATATTACGAATACCGTCGTGGCCCGGGCAGGAATCTAGAACAAGCCAAAGTTGGTCTTCTAGCCCGGGGTATGCAGCATCAAAGACATCTTGAGAGCTTCGCTTCATCAGGTTGTACAGGCCGTCGACTGCAGCGTCCCGCAACGATGCTGTGTCGCAATTAAGGTATTTCTGCAACAGCTTTACGTAATCTGCAAATACCATGTTGCCTGGAGCATAGAGCGAGAGGTGCTCTAGACAGCTTAGACTGGCGCGCTGGACATTGACGTTGTCTTCGTCCTGAAGCTGGCCGATTAGGGTCAGGATGAGCTCTCGAGATTTTGTGGCATCTTGTAAGTCTGGACCTAGGACATTGATCATCGAGTCCACACAGTGGGTAATGGCGCCGACCGTAGAAAGCTCCATCTCCAGGTTCATCGAGATGGCGGACGAAACTTCGGGGTGGTGTGTGTCAGAGAGATAGAGCTGCGTCAGCATTCCCAAACTGCTCGACACATACGGGGCAAATCCCAGGCCAGCTGCGTCTGCTACCCGTGACAGCGCCTCGAGTGCCCAGTAATGGACCGTCGGGTGCGGGTCATTGCAGAGCGACATCAGTATTCCCAGGATCGTCTTGAGATGATAGCCAGCAGCCATGCCTCCCAGTTTGGCCTGGATGCATCCCAGAGACATTGCGCAGCCAGCTCTTGCGCTGGGTTCGCGGTTGCTGACAATGGTGTCGACAAGGTGCTTGATCTCGCCATTGGTGAAGGCATTGCCGCACGTATTGCACAGTCTTGCAATCGTTGCATACCCGAGGCTGCGGATGTATTGATCTGGGTCCAGCACAAACCCTCGAACAATCTCTTGTAGCAACTTTTCTACCGCCAGGTTTGAAATGTCGCCAGGAGGAGACATTGTCTCCCGCGAGGCAACCCTCAAGCTGTATAGGAGAGCAGTGGCGATGTTGACGTTCATGGCGGCTTTGCGGCCGGGATCACGCTGCAGTACCCCTGCTGACATGAATGTTGCGACCTGCTCCAGAATGCTCTCTTGAACCTTGGCCGGCGTCAGGGGAAACACAAAGGCAAAGAGCTGGATAGCCATGTTGATCACCTCCGTAGCTGGGGGATGCGGTAGTACACCTGGTACACTCGCATCGCTCACATAAAGCATTGCTGCATCGTGCTCGAGGGACGGGCAGACGGGGGACCTCAACAGGTCATCAATGAAGGCCTCGGGATCGACCTGGTCCGACGCGGGCTGATCAGTGGAATTGTCCTGCTCGCCAGGCAGTCTCTCGACTCTGAAGCCGTTGACGAGACCAGTCACTCCAAAACCAGAGTTATCTCCGACTTCCCACACGGATTCAAAGGTCCCGGCGGCATTGGCAATGGACGCGCTCAGCGAGTTGCCGGCGTAGTTCTCAGGATCCGCAAACAGGGAGACGGCTGTAGTCAAAAGGTTAGACTGCAGCAATGCCTCGCTGCCGCCAGCGGGGCTCTGGTTTACGAGTTTGGTGTAGCATTGCAGCACGCGGCGCTGAACCATGAGTTCGAGATCCTGGAGTTGCAATGCCGGCGTCAGCCTTTGCGAGACGTCTTCTGTCGTCTTCTTTTGTGGCAACGTTCGCAAGAACGCTGTAGTGCTCTGTAACATGGCCGCGATGCGTTTCGAAACGTCTACCGTCAACAGGCGACTGTTGAACTGCAAAAAGGCGAGAATCGAGCCCAATGCACACTCTCTGACATTGGTCAGGAAACAAGCCTCCAAGAGACTTCGCTGTGACGTGTTGTCCTTGGCCAATGGCTTGGGGAGGGCATTCTTCCAAAGCAGCAAAAGCTGCGACAAATGGATCTTGACAAAGTTTGGACCGAGTGACATGAGACCTCCAATGAGTATCCAGGCGACTTGGATCTGCGTGCTCGAAACTCGGAGCTCCGACTTGCCACTCGACTTGAGCAGATTCGTGGCCATGGTCAGAACCCGGCTATTGATATCTACCGAGCCATACAATGGCCGGTCCGGGCTAGCACTCAGTGTCGTGGCCAGGCCATGGGCGAAACCCATGCACCGTCGCGGCGAGTTGCGGCCGGTGCCAAGTTGAGAGAGCTCCCGGCTCAGGCTGTTCATACAGACGGACAAGCATGGCAGCAGCTGCTGTGGACAGGCTTTGACGAAGCTCTTCATGCAATGCGAAGCGTAGACCTGCACACTGTAGCTGGGATGCTGCAGCACCTGGAGCAGTCCATCACGGCAGGACTCGGAGAAACTATTGGCTGCGGAACCCAAAGAGTCGATGAGGGAGGCCACGGCGCCGAGAGTGGCGATGAGGGTGTACTTGCTAGGCTCGGGGCGCTCCTTGATCGCCTGTGGATAATTTTTGAAAACGTCGTTGATGACTGACCTGGCCGCGGCCATTTGGCCTGACTCGCCCAAGATCTTTTGGCCAACCGTGGTTTGGAGGATCGAGTCTACAATACGCCTAGATATAAGGAGTCGATAGCGGTTATTTGTGATATTTGGATTGCCCAGCAAATCGACAGTTAAATTTTCCACAATCCTTAGGTAATTGGTCTCGACAGCCTTCTCACCGAGCGTCCTCAATACCCGACCGTAGCAGATACCGAGCGCGGCTCTGGCCCGATTCGTGGTGGACAAGCGTACATACTGCGCAGACAAGGTCTTTAGCATGTCGGTCAGAGTCAATGCCAGCTGTTGCGTTTTCTTGGTACCTGGGGCCGGACTTCCCGGTCTAGAAGGAATGTCATCGTCTTCGGCGAGTCCAGAACCGGGCTGGACAGAGGCGCGTTTGCTCGCCTTTGACTTTGGCTTCTTGGCCTTGGGCGCAGCAATATCACCAGCAGCGTTTTCGGAGAGACTGACTGCCATTGCTTCGGCCAAACAGTCAGCTGCAGCCTGGCGCACTTGGGATGAGGGCGAATCAAAAGCCTTGAAAAGCGCCAGCTTCAAATTCTCAAAGTCGCTAGAGTTTTCAAAGTAGGATGTGTGCTTGGCCAGGGACTTTAAGCACCGACAAGCCGCAACGGCTACGAGATAGCCCTTGTCTCCTGCGGCGGCGGTGCGACACTGCTTCCACATGTCGCGAGCAATGCTCTCGTCCATGCTCGCGGCGACCATGCTAACAATCTTGGCTAGGGACTCTAGCACAGTGGCACGGAGGCCAGCATTGCTCGAAGTCGCTTTCAGGAGTTTGACCAGCGCCCCACAGGAAAGCTGGTGCAGAGGGATGGCACTGTCGCCGGCGGCAGCGTAAACATGACCTAGACACGTAACGGCGGCATGTCTGGCTCTGATCTCGGCGTCCGTCTTGACCTTTGAGTTTGTCACGATGGACACGAGGTCATTGATGGTCTCAAAGAGTAGCTTTCGGTCACCTTTGGCAAAGACGTGGGCCAGGACGGCACCAATATTGCCTCTCGTCACGCGGCTCGGGGAGGGTGCGGGTAGGTTGATGAGCTGGAAGGCCTCCTTTTTCAAATAGAATTGCTGGGCTGTGCAATCGTCGGCAGGCAGGGCCTTGACATGTTTACCGAGGCTGGACACAAAGGTCAGGATGTAAAGGTCCTGTTGTTCGGCTGGTAGTGCGCGCAGCTTGGTGAGATCAAGCTCGGGGTTCTGGCTGGTCTCGCTGGCACTGGCGGTAGGGCGGGGCGGCGAGGGGGGAGGTGGCTCATCGCGGGCATCGTGGCCCGGCGACGACGGTGCCGACATGAGCGGATAGAGGAGTGGACGTGGTGGTCGCAGTCGGTGGCTGTCGTGGAATATCGTTTTTGGTGTACCAACCGTGACGAATCTGCGAGAATGTCGGAGGCGCCAGCAGCGTCGGCGGCGGTGGGGTGGCAAGAATATGGTATCTCCTCTTGTGTCTGATAGCTGATGTGTTGCCAAAGCTACCCAGCCTACAGCTTTGGGAGAACATGAAGTTTGTAGACACGAATAACGTCTGGTGGGTTTGTGCAGAGAGGTGAAGTAACGTTCGCCTACTACTACCCCTTGATGCTTTTGTGTACAAGGAACATCACAAGCTGCATGTGGCTATTGGAGGATGAAGTCAAGTGAAAGGTGCATGCTTGTACATCCTTGCCCAGGTACCGACTGTACCTAGCAAGATGGCCGGAGTCTGGTACCTGGGCATACATATACTACCTAGTAGATAACGCTACGCATTTACCCAGTACACACATGAGGCACCTGTTGGTGTACATGTAGGTAATGTATTGACAGCATCTTCCAGCCCTTTTTACCGTATGTATGCAATACTTGTGCATTAAATTGTGACACAGCAATTGATGACGAGCTAGGATAATTTATGAATATGATGGCTAACGAAATATGAATTAAATGAATTTCATTTCATCGCAACTCAATGCTTCACTCAGACGCTACCTTGCACGAATAGTTTCATTCTAGTGCTTAATACATTTACGTAATTTTATATGTGGCCATTTCTTCTATTATTTACCTATGACCTTGACAACCATCCAGATTCTCTGTTCATGGAGTGCTTACACCAGACAGATGCACCAATTCAGCGATATTACTTTGTATACTTCGATGTTTCGTTCAACATGCTGCGTGTACCATCCCCAGGGCATGGTCTAATAGTTACCTAATTGCCGCTGTATATCGACACCAAGCCATGGATGTGCATAGCACCAGTGGACGTCCAAAGGGTGGGTGCGGACTTTCGTTAATCCTCGCTTGTTCCTGCAGAATTCCATCCCACAAGCAAGCCCGTGCCGCCAGTGGGATACCGCTGCTGCTGCTACTTACTCCATTGAGAGCAGTATACTGTTGCTATACTGTTGATTATTTGGGTTGCTAAATAATAAAAAAACGCCTACCTAGGCCGTGGGTCCATTGCAACGGAATTCAGCATCCAGGGTTTCTTTTTTGTTTTTTTCGTTTCTTGCTCGGCCACAGAATCACGATACGCACGCCCAGTTCGCGTCCCTTTTCACATTCACTTTACATCAAACTGAACCCCAAAGGCCCAGCATCACAATTGTTGTACATGTGGTCTCCTTTTCTTTTGGTCCTCGTCCCCTTCTTCTTCTTCTCCTTCCTACTCCTCTTATGATAGTTCGGATTGGCCGTGCAAGCTCCTGTCAAAGAACCTTGACAATCCCCCCTTTAATGAAGAGTACCATCGCTTGCCGCTCATGATGTTCCTCTCGCCCCAGAACCGCCCAGCTGCTTACTTCCTGAGGCCGAGCGCGCTTTGCTCTTGGTGCCGTCGCGCATTAACCTCGACGGCTGTTGTCTACAGCGGGCATAACCGCTGGTCCAAGATCAAACACGAGAAGGGCGCCGCCGACAAGAAGAAAGTAAGTACCGAAATGTTTAGTGATCACGATCCTCTCATAATCGTTATGAGAGGATCGCGTGTTTCGAAAGGCACCTCGTATTTGAGGATCGCAGGTTGCCTGGCAACTTATCATGATGGAGAAAGACTCTTGTTGCCATGAGCGAGCATGCATTTAAAGTTTAGTTTTTATTCATCTATTTCGTTTTTGTAATACAAAACCGTGCGACAAAACCCGGTGTTTCCTTCTCAGATGGACTGGATCTTGTTGGCAGGGCGCGACATAATTAAAAAAAAAAAAAAGAAGAGGAGGAGAGAGAGAGAGAGAGAGAAAAGCCATAAGGCTAATCAAATTTCACCAAACAGACAGCCGAGCGCAATTTTTTCGCCAAAAACCTCACGCTCTACTCAAAACTATATGGCACCAACCCGGAATTAAATGCCCAGTTGGCCAAGACCATTGTCGAGGCCAAGAAATCGGGCATGCCCAAGGCTAACATTGAGTTGGCCATTGCCCGCGGTCAGGGCCGGTCCTCCACGGGAGAGAAGCTGGAGACGGCCATGCTCGAGCTCCTGGGCCCCGGCTCGGTAGCTGTCATCATTGAGACCGAGTGTGACAACAAGCAGCGCGCCATCAAGGATCTGAAGCTTATTGCCAAGAGGCACTCAGCCACGGTCACGCCAACGACCTTCCTATTCACCAGGCTTGGCCGCACCATCCTGACGCTTCCCGACGGTTGCGATTTCGACGCCGTCTTTATGCAAGCCGTCGAGGCGGGCGCCGAGGACGCGGAGCAGGACGACGAGGGTAATGTGGTAATATGGACGCAACCAAATGCGACCCACCAAGTTGCTCAGAGCTTGAGCGCGGCCCTGCAAGCGGATATCATCACATCTGACATTATCTGGAAGCCGTCCGAGGATACGGTCAAGCTACAAGATCAGGGTGTTGCCACACAACTGGCAGAGTTTCTCTCAGCAGTACGCGACAACGACGACGTACAGGCAATTTACGCCAATGTCGAACAGGGAGAAATATCCAATGATGTGTGGAGTTCGATAGAGGACAGTCTCGACTGACCGTTTGTCCCCAAGAAACAATGATAGAATCGTACACTAGCTATATATACACACAAATATACGTAATACACACGCGGGTAACATTTCCAGCCACCCGCCTAAATGATATTTCGGTATTTCCCCAAGACAAGATGGCTCTGCGCACGCGCGCGCAACATCAAGTCCCTCCGTGATACATGAGTCGTACAAGGGCCCTTATAGCCATTTCATCATCTCCCTCCACCCCCAATCCGATCAAGAGAGTCGATCAAAGGCCAGCTGCTCAGTCTGACCTGATCCGAAACAAACGGCCGGCGATTCGCGCCCCCGAATGTGCATGCTGCCTAGCGCGTAGTAGGAAAAAGAGCGCAGATGGGTAAAGCTACCCTTTACTCCGCCGTCACTGGTCTGGAGAACATTGCTGTTTGAGGTTGGGTGGGTGGAGGAGCGAAGGAGATATCACCAGTCGGACGGCAATGTAGCCAACCAACCTGGCGGGCCATTACCTGTTGTTCTCAGCCTCACTCTGGTCGGCGGGAGCAGGCGGGGCCGGGGGCATGGGCCTCTTTGCCTCCTCCTCCAGCCTCCTGTCTCTCAGATACAATCTCCTTGCGCGCAGACGTTGTAGCTCGGCGTGGATTTCGTCCTTGTCAAGAGGCACCTTGTTGGCCTGCTCAGGCTTTGGCCAGAAGTCGGGCACGGCGAAGCGCTCGTCGAGGTTTGTACCAAAGTAATACATGATGCCAATGGGAAACATGACATACATGCCAAACTGCCACGACGGAGTGGGTAGGTAGTCAGCACAAAAGTTCCCAGCGCACAGAGCAGGACGGCCGAGAGGGGAGGAGAGAGGAGGAGAGGCACGAGCAGTGAGTTATAGGTGGTGGCAAATGTGCGTGCATACCTTGAAGACCTCGAGATTGAGACCGCCCATCTTCGCATTGACTATTCGCAAATGACGACGACGATGCTGGTGGTGGTGATTGTTGAGATGGCGCTACTTTCTCGCTGTGCAGAATATGTCGTGACGATGATGATAGTAGGTAGTAGTGGTACCGGATGAGTGAATCCCTCGTGGGCCGGACTATTGCTGTTGCATAAAAGGGAGGCTGCGCGCGCGACTCTTGCTGTTGGGAATGGAAGCTTGAAGTAGGTAATGGCTGCATCTCATTCGGCAATCCGGATTGACTGGATCAACCTACGCTACTAACCTAGGTATGTACCTACAACCAACCGTCTGAAAATGACTGGATGACGATCCCGAAATTTTGGTAGGTGGGGTGTTTTTTTTTTTCCCTTTCCCCAAGTACATTATGTACGTAGCGTATTGCACTAACAAAACCTTGCATAGGTCACTGGCTAGGTACATAGGTAGGCACGGTACATAGCTATGTAGTTGGATGCTTTAGAAACAATGTTTGTACACATGAAGGGCGGCCAAATATGTATTTGCAATGTGTAACACAAGGTATGATATAATTTTTATACTCATCTGCAAATGCACATGTCTTTGTGAAATATCCAAACAATCTACAAGTAGGGATTTCACCCAGCCAAGTCGTCGTTGCAATTATTCATCGGGAAACAACTATACTTTACCATGACATGATAAATATGGCACTGCATTGGTCACATCTCTAACCCATCGTTAAAGACGGCAGAAGTGTCGCAAATCCCTACCATCCTGGGTAATCAAACCACGTAGATAAGCAGGTGCCAGACATTTGAGTATGAGAATATCCCTCTGATAGCGTCGAATATCGACCTCATAACAAATTCTTGTATTATCAATCCACACCTCTGTCTCGGCGACTGTATCGGAGAATAGATCCGGTCTTCCATTGTCTGAGCTGTTTCTTCACATTTCTACACCTAAAAGACTGAAATCGTTACGAAATTTTTCTTCCTGGCCCTGCTAGATTTCTCTCTTTCACTCTTTCCCTCACCCCTCCCCTGTTCGTTTCTCTACATGGCTCGTCAACAACTCTTAGTGACCCGCCAGGCTGCCAGACCTCGCCGGCCAATCACCCTCCTGAGTGTTGCCCAGATACCATCTTCGGCCCAGTCCAGATCATCCAGATTCAAGTGTTGCGTGTGCCGCCAGACCTCTCTGAACCGTAAGCCGTCAAGCCCCTTGTTGGGAAGATATGCGTCCAGCCAAGTAGCCGACAAGGGCGCCATCAAATAAGTACCATTAGACTCCTTGAGGTACTCGTTGTTCCTGCGATCTGCTGGCGTGTCGCACGTGGCTAGTCTTCCGAGCTCTTCCAGCAGTTTGCTACCTTCCAGATCCATGACGTCTTGTGTGCGCAATACCTCGTTCTTGCCGTTCAGCAGCCAGATGGGTGGCATGTAGGTCTTCCACCATATTGCTTCGGTTGCGTCCGGCTGCTTACTAAGGAAGACTTGGCCTGGCACAATACCGCCTTGATGATAAAGTCCCATCAACATGGAGAGCGCCACGTTGAAGAGGACCCATGCGCCCACCCAGATCCTGAGAACTGTTGTATTCCTTGGTAGCTGCACCGATGATAGAATTAGAGGTATCGTGGGTAGCAGGAATCGTGCCTCCTGGTGCTGGAATACAGACAACACAAATATGCCCGATATTGCCGAATAGAGCCGCAACGATAGGTGCGGCTGAAAGAACAGAAGGCCGGCAGCGGGACCCAGCAACATTGGTATGTTCACAAGCATGTGCTGATACCATGGATGTATCCCGTGCTGTGCCAAATTGGCTGGCGACATGTTATACCGCAGGTTGTTCCAGGGTGTGATGACGGGGTTCCGCACCAGGTCTGACCAGTTGATCGAGTGCGGTGTGTAAAAGGAAGTGTCGAGGGACACGGCGATTATTACAGTGAGGAGAGCAGACGCTACTAATACAGCAAGAGACAGAGGTCTATGTGTCGGATAGTCTCCCGGGTCAGCATTCGAGTATAATCAATCCACGTCATGTTTTATCATTTGACGTTGACTCTAGAGGGTTCGAGAGCGGGACGAGAATCAATCGTGGTAGAAACTCACCTTTTCCAAAAAAGGGGTATCAATCGAAAGCCAGGAATCAACAAAAACGCTGGGAATGTTATTCTATTAAAGGCGCCGAAGACGGAAACAACGCCGAGAACGGTCGAGGCAAGAAGGGAAGAGGTTTGCTGAGACTGAGTCCGCCGTCATGTTAGCCAGTGAATATAAACAAGTTAGGGCCCAAAGCGGAATCAGAAGATGGAGAATCATCTCTCCTTCTCTATTTCCTCCATTGTGCCTGTGCCTTACCGAAGTATCCAGGATGCGGTCTATCAAGACCAAGCTCCAAGCGACGACTAATGTCTCGATCGAGTTTGAAAAGGTATGCGTCTGGAAGGTCCAGGTAACATAGGAAGACGCTACCAGCAAGATAGCAATACGACGGTGTCGCGGGGACTGGACCAGCTCATGAACGGCCCAGTCTTCAAGCACGAAGCTGAGGACGAACATGAGGACGCGCAGAGTCCAGAAGACGGCAATGGGGGGAACCTCGCCATCGTTACCATGGCCAACCCAGAGCCACCTCAGCAGCAGCATGGGGAGGCCATAGACAGGCCACAGGGGAAAGACGCTGCGAACGGGATGCTCACTCGTGAACTCCCAGGTCCGGCGCACGGGATAGCTGAAGATCTCACCGGCTATGACCTCAGGCCCCTGGAAATTCTCATCTGGATGCAGATAGCTCGGCGAAAGGGCAAACCAGAGCCGCACGAGGACCAGTAGCAGGTAGGTACGCCTCCACATATTGGCGCCCCTTGGTATGTTGTCTCGTCTGCTCGTGGCAGGGCAAAGGCAGCACAGGCATCTAGCTGGGCGCCCGATGGACTGCCTGTCTGCTCCCTTCTTATGAAGCAGGTGAGAGAAGAACTTGGTGTCAAGAGGTCGCAACGAGATTCGGTAAGGTCGGTCTTTCACGCGCCGGGGCCGCAGTCGAGAGCCCTACTGGGTGGCCGAAGCCAGGGCTGGTGAGATGCAGACAGGTCGGAGAGGTATGGGCCGCGTCTCAGTTAAGCGCGGCTTGTCGCATACCCCAAGATATGTTATTCCGTGATTGTTCGATGGCGGTCGGCGCTCTTTACTTGCTTTACTTGCGCGTCAACAGGTCGCTGTACAGGCTGGAGGCAGTAGTTGCAAGTATGACGGCGGCGGCGGCGAAGAAGAACAAGGCGACAGAAAGGCTGGCAAACAATTATGTGTCGATCGCGTCGGTGTGCAAAGTATGTTATTTCGAATATGGATCGATCGGGCGTATCTCTACCTAGGTACAAACAAGGTGGCAGGCTAACAAGCAATGCGACAAGTAAAGAATAATGGTCATCAGGTCGGGTCTGTTGGGGAGGTTGGCGGGCAGAGATGTTGTCGGAAGTTTGACGACAAGGTTCAAAGATTATGCATCTCCTATTGTCGAATCAAAAGTCCGATCCATGATCTGAAGTTGTGAGAAAGGAGAGACAATGATGGATGGGTGAACTGATGACAACCCACGCGTGGCACGCGAGTCTTTCTTTTGGAGGTGAAAGGATCAATTGTTGTTGCCGCTTGTACGTCGTTCTCTTGTTCTTTGGCCCCCGTCGCTGACACTTATCTTATTTCCCCTTCTCTTTTACTTCCTTGCTCGAGGTCGATAAACAAGGGGGGGGAGGTAAGGGTTGGTAGGAGGCGTCGCAGGGATTTAGGTAGGCAAGGCCACAAGTGATTGGCAAAGGATAAATGCAGGATCAAACGAACAACAGACAAGAAAGAAAACCGACCACAAATGTATTACATAATACACATAATAATAGGAATCCACCCATTGCAAGTATTACATTAAGTGTGGGTATATATAACAGGTAAATATTTATGTTAAAGCATGCGGCTAAATGTAACCACGTTAATATTAATTAATTCGAGCGATTTTAATTAAGGTTTTAAGCTTTTTAAATAAATATTTTGCGAAATAATAATTATTATAAATATTATATTTTATATATTTAAATTTAATAATAAATTAATAAATATTTATAAAATCATATAAATGAAACTTAATAAATATATAAATAATTTAATATATTATAATCGTAAATTTTTAATATGTTTTATACTTTTAAACTTCCAATCCAATAAAGCATGCTTCCTACGCCCAGGTTAATACCAAGATGCTGCCCTAAGCTCCAGGCCATGCTATAAAGATACTTTGGGGAGAAGACTGTCCAAATGAAAAGATGCGTTCTCAGTGCTGTGCAAGCAGCCATGACGAACAAAAGGCTAGTGGTCACAAATAATGTAAGTAACGCACCATGTCGGAGGAATAAGGTTTTGCGACAGCCGTCTTTGCTTTGTAACAAGAGTAAGTTCGTTGCCAATGTCCACCAGATTGGGGCAGCCCAATTGCTAACAAACGTCAACACCCCAACCGCCATGACGTTGAACCCGCTGATTCCATTATAAGCACTGGACAAGTCCACCGAAGATATGGCATTGCTTCCTCCCATGGCAAAGAACGAGGCGAATTGCAATAGGATAGCCGACGTCGTGATTTCTGCCACATCTAGCTTGAGCCTTTGCAGATAGGTCTGCAGCAGTCGGAAGAGCAAAAATAGTGGGATATTAGTTACTCGGGACTGCGTGAGAGCGAGAACCGTGTACAAGTTGTGCAACAATGCCATGGCGGCCAACTGCTCTGGACCTGAGCCGCCAGCTTCGCGGGAACTCTCGCTTTTGAGCTTGTCTTCGAGATGCCTTACCCGTCTGCGCGTCAACAAAAAGTAGACAGTATATGCCAATGCCAATGCCAGCCCGAGCAAGACCACCCGTGCTCGCGACAAAAGCGATGGCCCTTCCATGAGCTGCAGCAGGCTGCGCACAAATCCCGTCACTAGCTCTGGAGCGTCCTCGTTGGCAAAGGCGATCTTGAAGGACATCGCAGATGTGACGACGCCGAGCATCAACGGCATCGCAATGGCACCTGGGAAAATTCCCCTGGCATTCGACATGAGCTCGACAAAAAGTACGGCGTAAGTCCCGATGACAAGACACCAGAGGATCTCGGGATTCGGTGCCAGGAAGAGCTTTACGAGGTCAGGGTTACCCGCGAACTTCTGGCCCGTCTGGTTCCAGCCCCTCATGAGTCGGATTGAGACAAGAATCGCCAACACTGCCCAGTAGGGTACTCTGGTCGATTTCTGTAGGCTGTGGTTGTTAGCGTCTTCCTAAACGCAAACCGCATAGCGAAGAACAAACCGTGTCCGAGAGAGATACAACAGCCACGCTGTTGTTGCCCAATACCAAAAGTGCTGCTCCTCTTCAACATAACTACTTGCAAACATCATGATGCCGTATAGGAGCATGATCGCGGCAAAGCATGGCGGCACGCCCGTGCTCTTTTCGGCAACAAGAAAAACAGCCAGGATTGAGCTGACCGCTAGAAGCAGAGCGATTGTCACTCCCTGAGTCAGCCTTGTTATATCATAATTGCTTGCCATGCCACTCATGAGATGTTGAGCCTCTCGCAGCCACTAAAATTTTGCGTTTATGCTCATTAACAAAAGATCTACTAAGCCCTTGTAGAGTCCTGATACTTACTTGCAGTACCTGCCGAGCCCAATCATCATTGTCGGCAACTTTGTCAAGATCACCTTGCCTGGCCAGAACATGCCACTCACAAGCTAGCCTGTCAGCGTCGGACGACAATTTCAAGCAGTCCACGGCGTCGTAAGGCCCAGCCGACAGCGTGTCGCCAAAGGCTGCTGACACAATTTCGAATATCTGTTTGGCGTTGTGCATCATAATGTACGCCTGGTCACGCTCTGTAGAGGCTATCAGTTGCTGCATAACAACGGTTCTCTCCACAAATCCCTACGTACTGTCCAGCCACAGAGGCAGAAATTCGGGTATCATGGCGCCAAGATTATTCTTTGGTACCGGAAAGCCCAGCAAAGCACCGAGTGTTGGGGCCAGATCAGATTGCTGTACACGTGAATAGTATTGGAAGTCTTCGGCGTGGGGAGCCGGGGCATCTAGAGACCGGGACAGGGACTTTAGACTCGGGGACAAGAAGACCAAGGCTGGCGATGTTTCGCCGGCCGAGGAGGCGCCGTGATTGCCTGCATCGTTCATACCATGATCGCCGCAAAGAACCAACAGCGTGGATCCCAGATGCGATTGTGTCTCAATAGCCTGGTAGATGCGGCGGACGATATCGTCCATTTCCCGTTGTTTGGGGAACATGGCAGAACTAGATGAAGGTTAGCCTCACTTTGACTCCAGGCAGAAATTAACAATAGCGCGAACATGGCTTCAGGAATACCTTCGCGGCCCGGATTTGTGGCCGATATGGTCCAGGCCAAGATAGTGCAAAATCATGGTGCTCCAATCGTCTTGCTGCAGCTCGACATCGATGTGCCTAGTGACATTGTTGTCTACCTCGGTATAATCCTGACAAAATGTCCAGTCAGTCCGCTGGTTGAGTGTAGCAGTAATCATGGAGCGCCTTACCGAGACGAAAAAGCTGGAGGTGCCATCGGCTCTATCGAAGGTGTCGGGGAACAGCTTCAGCCAAGTATCATCTCCAAACATGAGCAGCTTTCCAGTTTGTTTTGCTTTCATTTGTGCAAGCCAAGTATCCTGGGAAGCGAGCGTGGACGAACTGTCGGCCTCGTCCAGATTCAGGATGACGTCGAGAAACGAAGGAACGGAGCCCGTAGTAATGGCTTTGAGGCGAGGCATCGTCACGGTCGGGGATGCGGCATGGGCCGTAAAGGGAATCGCAGCGCCATCTCGAATCAGTCTACATCAGGGGGCAAAGGTGAGTATGTGTCGGCTGCGCCGGGTCCTTGGCAAGAGACAGTACTGACCCCTGAGTGAACTCGAAACCAGAGCCCTCTGCGAAGACGAAGTCGCTGAATCGAAGAAACAAAAGATTAGCCCAAATGTTGTTGCACGTCATCCGCGGGGCAGTACCTCCGGAGGGCGTCCACAACCATAAATACGACGCGGTCAAAGGGGGGTGCTGGGGCCTGATCTAGGTCGTCATATTGAGCATTTCCAGCGAGAAAGGGCTTGTAGGGAAAGAAGCCGGCGGCAAAGATTATAATAGCAGCCGGTATGAGCAAGTTCGCTGCAACGAGCAAGCCAGTAGCAGCTCGCTTGCTACGTTGGTGCATTCTCACGTCAATTGACACGAAATTGAGAAATCGCTAGGTGCGATGAGGTTGACGATCAGGAGTTGATGCTGTCCATAGCGGAGACTGGGAAAGGCTTGAGTGAGTGATGACAGCACACAGAAAGACGAAATGAGCGTTTAGTGCATTCACTGGCAAGTCTCGCAGCGATTGGCGTTTTTGCCTTGATCGTCGTGATTATTGGGATGCCGTAGGATTGAACTCCGGGCGGGACCAAGCGTAAACAATTTCTTACGTTCGAATGCTTAGGTTCGGTCTCGGCGAGGTGTCCGGAATAGTTTCGTCACCAGTCTGATGGACCACCCAGGTCCCACGACGCGATCAAAGTGCCCTTGTAGCTACATTAGTATCGGTTTACCAATTTGGAGGTAAGGGTCCTTAGCCCCAGATGCCACATATGCAGTCTCACTGAGACGCGCCCCGCAAATACCTGGGTAGCTTAAAAAGGTACTTACATAGAAATGATCCGGCGTGTCCCCGCGTGGGGCCCGCCGCTCAGACATGTACCAGCGCTAAAGTCCCCCCATATGATACTTGAAGTTTGCGGCACCCATGAGGGGACCTTGAGCAAGGTCTTGACTGGTGTTTAAATGGCCAGCAGTGGGGCTCGGGTTCGCATCTGACGAGCGAGCTCAGTCTCAACACCAAGATCAAATGGTATGTACATTTGAACGTACCCATTGACCTCACCCACATACAGACTCTCATAACCCTCCAAGTGCTTGTGTAGTGTGACTACCTACGTACTCTAGGTACTACATATGTACACAGCTCGAGGTCTACATTTGTAGTGGGTGGTGTTTCGAGAGACCTCCGTCACTCCTACCGGCAGAAGATCATGTATTCTTAGCCAGTCCGCCGAAGCTGTATCAGTAGATCACGTGCGGTCCGCGATTGGATCAATCCCCGATCCATCAAGCATGCCGAACGATAATGGTTCTTCTGCCAACCCATTCATTCGCTTCAAAAACGAGATTGACACCCATATTGCGCAGTTCTGGGGCCATGGCCCTCGACGGGAGGCGCCGCTGGACTCGTCAAGCCGCTCCCCAGACAGTCGCGTTGAGAGCTCCTCCAATATTGATCCCACGTCTGATGCCGTGGTGCTCGCCAATCCCCCCGTAGACGTCATTGCAGCACAACTGCAGCAACAGCGCATATCATCCTGGCTGACATTTTCTGCCTATTCGCCAGACAACCTAAGCTTCCTGCCCCAACCTGTTCCAAAGGATCTTCTACATGACCGCTTAGCTGGATCTTGCTCCACCTTCCACGACGCCTTTGCGGACCTCTTACATGTATCCTCTGGCCACCCACTCCGGGACATTATACAGGCATTGCCTGTTCAAGGGAGTCGTCATTATGCTACCTCATTCTCGTCCCTTGTGTTCCAGGCATTCCGCTCACAGGCATGGCGCGCTTCGCTTCAAGATCAGTGGGACGTCTACTTCCCGCAACGTCAGGCTCGTATAGATGCCGAAACCATCCTTGAAATAACCTATGGCCTGCAAAAGCAGCAGCGCCAGCGTGGACTCGGCACATCGGTGACATTGCTCCAGTCTCTTATCCGCCAGGCTTCAATGTGCGAAGAGGAGGCCAAGCTTTGCCGCCTTGTGGGCCAGCCACCCTTTGGTCCTACAGACTCTCTTGATTCTGATCGCAATGACCTCTGGGCCGTGCTTCGAGACCTGTACCAAATGAATGATCCATGGCGCAAGGAGAGTCGCTCGACCCAGGTACATCATGAGGAGGTCCCGGATGGAGGTTTCACGGAGAAAATCGACACCGAGGAAGCACTCTATCAAGCCCTCTGTCCGCCACGTCCCAACAGCTTGGCTCGATCCATGTTGCCATGGGACGGCACTGCCGTGGTGCCAACCCCTTGTGCCAATTCTTTCGAGTCAGGCAGAGAAACATCTTCCCATGTGACAGAGATGAACGTTGTGTTTCTGCCTGATGGGAGCAATATAGTGACCAGAGTTGAGCGGCACTCGCATCATGGCATCACAGAACAAATCATCACAACAGAAAAACAAGATGCGCAAGGTTTGATAACGGAGCGTACGATAAAGACCATACAATTTCCGGCGGATCACGGTGGGCGGCCTCGCGAGCACCAGGCTTCGAATGACGATCGTATCAAATCTGCATCTGGACGCGCAGCCGGTACAAGCGATTGGTTCTGGACTCGGCGCGGCTAAGCACTGGTTCGCCGGACCTGTTCCAACCCAGACGCCAACTTGAGCCTACTTTACTCCCATGCACAATATTCCTCTAGTAGATGGCGATTGCGGCGGAAAGTGGCAAGCTCAACTGGCGTGGCTCGTTGCATAAGTATGATTGATGCTGGATACTGGTAAATGCGAAAATTGGTGAAATCGATTTATACTCTGCGCCCTTATTGGCACAGCTGTGCTATCTTTTCCTTAAAAGTTGCAGCCATCTGTCTGCCCCGTGGATGATAGGTACATCACTCTTCCAACGGCGGGCAACTGAAGTAATTTTATATTTCGAGTAGAAGAGTACATACAATAACGGTTATGCCACAAGCATGACTGGGCGACCATGATCACTTCAAACTAGCTCTAGCGCCGGGCATTCGCCTTCTTTTTCTTCATGATCCTTTTTCTCCCAATGATCTTCTGCTCCAAAGCATTACGTGTACTACTCGTTCTTGACTCGACACCGCTCTGATCAACAACAGTCTTGCCGGCCGTGCCCTTGAACTTTTGGGCAAGATGCTTGCCTTTTGTGAATTCTTTGTCATTGCGCCCGAAACGTGAATTTTGTTGACCTTGTCGCAACGTGCCCTGCTCGTGCTCATTTGCATTCGTGTCAGGTCGACCCTGCTTGGTTTGCCTCTCGTTACGCCTTGATACGACTTGAGCATTCTCAATAGCGAACTCGACAATGAGCCGCTGCGTCTTGCCTGTATCATTCTTGAGCGCGTGGCCATTCAGCCAACGAAGCCCCATGAGTGCCCATCTGTGCGAGGAATACTCGATGAAACCATAGCCGCGACTCTTGCCAGCGCCGTCACCCTCGGCAACCTTGGAGCCCTGCTTGTTTTCGTAGACAACCTTGGCCTGCTTGACAATGCCTTTGCCCTTCTCCTTGCGCCGGCGTTCAGCCTCTCGGTCTTCCTCACCACCCCTAGCCAGTTCTTCTTTCGATAGAGGCTCCCTGAGACCCTCCTTGGCATCCTTGCTAAATCCAACGACGGCCTCACGGGCCAGAGCTTTCACTGCTTTGTGATCCATATTTCGTGGGATGTTCCTAACTGCCAGACGAGTAAGGCTGAGGTGTAGACTTGGATTGCCTTGTATCTGCTTCTTGCGCTGGGCAGCACTCTCCTCTCGCATCTTCACCTCTGAGGGCGCAAGAAGAGCGAAGAGCGGCGAGCTGGGGGTAATGGTACCCTCTGAAAGCAAGTACAGACGGCGCTTATCCCTATCTTTACCGTCGCGTGTGGCAATTCCGTCTGCTGTCAGTTTTGTGGCCTCGTCCTTGCTGACTGCCTGTGAGACGTGCAGGACTCTGCCTTCAAGTGTATAAGAGCCTTGGGCGTCTGCCAGTTCATCTTGCAATATGGAGCGCTTTCCCGAAGCGTCAGTAGCCCGAGGCCGCGGTGCCCCCTTGAGACAAGCCATGGCATCGTCGTTGCTCAGGAAATTGACAAAGCCAGTGCCAGCCGGGCGATCCGTCACACGGTCCATAACGACTCGAGCATAGCGAACCCGGCCGAATTGCTCAAAGTGGCTCTTGAGATCGGCGTCCGTGGTAGAAAAGGGCAAGTTTCGAATAAACAGTGTTGATGAATTGTCCGTCATCAGGGTCTTTGTGGGCTTCTCTGCATCCGACGAGATTTCCCCAGAACTGTCATCCTCGCCGGATTCCCGGCCTTTCGAATCCCTCTCCTCTTCTCCGTCAGCCTCGCTATCCTCATCTTCGAGCTTGTCGCCAAAGTTCTTCATGAAATTTCGAAGGTCTTCATCTTCCTCCTCCTCTTCCTCCTCTTCTCCATCCTTGCTTTTTATTTTCTGCTCATTGCCATGACCGCCAACGCTGGAACTTTTGCCGTCGGCGCCCTTCTCTCCGTCCTTTCCAGTCGGACCTTGCGACAGGTCTGCCTTATTCTGTCCACCGTCCTGCTGTTGCAGACTGCCCCATTCCTGCTTGCTGATAGCCCAGTCAACGGCAAGAGTCCGGCCATCAACAGTCTTGCCATTGACAGCCTCGATGGCCTTCTCTGCGCCTTTGCGCTTCATGGTTACAAATCCAAAGCCGGATAGCTTGCCCTTCGATTGAGGCAAATCGCAGTAGTAAATCTTTCCATAACCGCGGAAAAGGGCGGCGAGCTGCTCGGGCTTCTTGATGCTCCATGGCAGATTACGGATGATGAGCTTCGGGGGCTTTCTTGCTTCCTTCTCGGCATTCCGTCTTTCTTCCTTGTCGGCATCGACGGTGGCGGATTTCCGGTCTCGAGGCTTGGCGACCTCTATGCTGATCGGGCGGCCGTCAAATTTCTGGCCATGTAGCTTTTCCTTTGCATCAGTGGCATCCTGGGCATCGGTGAGGACAACGAAACCATAACCACGAGACTGCTTGGTGGTTGGATCCTTTACGACGACAGCACTCTTGACGGGAAAATGCTCGGAGAAGAAGCCGGTCAGGGTCTCGTCGGTGGCAGAGGGCGGCAGCGATCGTACAAAAAGGGATCTGCCTGCCTCTACTCGAGCTCTCTTGGAAGAAGGCTCGGTTTGCGCTGGTGCATGTTGCGTCTGGGACGAACTGGGCGAAGCAGAAGCTACAACCACTGTTGTTTCCTCGGGGTCATCGCGAGACCGCTTCTTGGTGTTGCCGGTCATGTCGACAAAAGGGGGCTGTTAGAATCTCCTGGACGAGTCTGCTGATAGCTCCAAGAGATTGCGCAGCTTGTTTCTGGCGATCAAGCGAGGATGGGAGAAGAAGAAGAGAGAAACGAAACTGGAATTTTTTGGCCGTTATCGATTGCTGGGATAAGACTGTGTGCATAAAAGTTGCATAAACGCTTTATTTAGTGCGGTACAAACATGAGGCGGGGTTGTTTTGGTTTGACAGTTGCATTATGTATGCAGCACAACTTTAGCACGAATTCTATTCTATTGTGTATATTTACAGGAATATGTGCATGCATTTACCCCACCCTGGCACACACTACAGACAGACGGTCGTTCGTGCCGATGCCACCTAAATATTATGTATTGTTTTGTTTGTTGCTCGGGCGCCCCACTCGGTTTGTTGACTCTCCCAAGAATCCTCCGATATCCACAAAGTACATACATACTACTTACCTACCTACATACATAGTATCTTCAAATACGACTGCTACATACATATGTTTCCGCGCGCTGTCTGACGAGAGGGATAAGACATTTGGGGGGTGCACTGATCACCCTTGAACGTTCTGATCGGGCGCTGCTCACTCACTGCAAAACGACAATACAAAAGCTCCAAGCTGCTTTCCTGCTGCTCAGAGGCCGGCAGCAAGCCCCCAGCCACGAAACGTCTGCCTCTCGCCCATCGTCCAACGCGAATCACCGCAACCGTCCATTCTGTGTCTTTTCGATACCATTTGTTGCCTCACACGCGCTCGGCCGGCCTAGCGCAAACCGATCACGATGCCTATCCGGGCCTCCTCCAGATCGACACGCACATCCACGGCGGCTGCCACAGTGGCATCGAGGGCATCGACAACCTCACGCGTTTCCTCAGCCGCACTCGGCATACCTGAAGACGGACCCGACAATGCGTTGCGATCCCAGATCTGCGTCATCTTCAAGGATGCGCAGAAAACCACTGCGTCCCACAGGAAGTTGGTCGTCAATCTACGCAAGATCCATGAGTCTTGCTGTTACGAACCTACCCGCCCCAAGAAGCCCGCTGCTGCGGCTCCTGCCGAGGACTTCGATGAGGATGATTTCAATGCCGAGTTTTCTCGGTGCGTTATGAGGGCTATGCCTGTCAAGAAAAGCGAAAGCGTTGGCGAAAAGACCATTCGCTTTGTTGGTCTCTTTCTGCGCCATGCTAGCGACAAGGACAACGAGATGCTTGGCGAAGACGATGCCGATGCTAGCACCATGCCCGAGACCCCAAGCACCCGCCTCATCACCCAAGTCATGGCCTCAATTCTGCCATTACTAACAGCCAAGGACAAATTCGTGCGTTTCCGCTCCACCCAATTTGTCTCGCATGTCATCAACTCTCTGGACGCCATCGACGACGACTTATTCCAAAAGCTGCGCCAAGGCCTTCTCAAGCGTATCCGTGACAAGGAAGCAATGGTCCGCGCTCAGGCTGTCCTCGGCTTGGGCAGGCTGGCAGGGAATCAGGTCGAGGCCATGGCCAACTCTGAAGACAGCGACGACGACGACGCAGAGACAGGTCTGCTCGAAAAACTGCTCGAAGTCTTACAAAATGATCCAAGCGCCGAGGTGCGCCGCTCACTTTTGGTGAACCTGCCCATATTGCCAAACACGCTACCATATTTGCTGGAGCGTGCACGAGATCAAGACCCTCAGACCCGCCGCGCCGTTTATGCGAGGCTCCTCCCCGCCTTGGGTGACTTTCGCCATCTATCCCTCTCCATGCGTGAGAAGCTCTTGCGCTGGGGTTTGCGGGATCGCGACGAAAACGTGAGGAAGGCCGCTGGCCGTCTGTTCCGAGATCGGTGGATCGAGGACTGCGCTGGGGTTCCTCCGGCGCCCGAGGACGGGAAACCTGCCGAGACCCCCGGACCCAGTTTTGACGGTCTTGTCGAGCTCCTCGAGCGCATTGATGTCGTCAATTCTGGCGTCGAGAACGGTGTAGCCATCGAGGCTATGAAGGGATTCTGGGAGGGCCGCCCCGACTATAGGGACGCCGTCTCCTTTGATGACTACTTCTGGGAAACCCTGTCGGCCGAGTCGGTCTTCATGGCCAGAAGTTTCAACGACTTCTGTCGCGCCGAGGGGAACCGCAAGTACGAGTCCCTTGTTGAAGAGAAACTCCCCGAGGTCACCAAGTTGGCCTTTTTTCTGGAGCGTTACCTCAAGGTGCTTGTCGAGGCAATCCGTAGAGTAAACAGCCAAGAGCTTGGCGAGGATGACGAGGAAGAGGACACGGTCGAGCAAGAGTTCATTGTTGAGCAACTATTGCATATTATACTGACCTTGGATTACTCCGACGAAGTCGGTCGTCGCAAGATGTTCTCCCTTCTGCGACAGATGCTCTCCATCCCGGAACTACCAGATGAGGTTACGAAACTCACAGTCGACGTTCTCCGCGATATATGCTCGCCCGATGCAGCTGGAGAGAAGGAGTTCTGCAGCGTCGTCCTCGAGGCTGTCGCAGATGTTCATGACACCATCGTCGACGAGCCAACTCCGGAGAATGACGATGACAGCTTTCATTCGGCACGGTCGGATGTCAGCGGCGATAGCACACCAACGAGGGGTGATAAGCGTTCCAAAGACACAAACCTGACCGAGGAGGAAGCCAGAGCCAAGGCCATCAAGGAGATCATGATCAATATGAAGTGTCTGCATATTGTCCAGTGCATGCTCACCAACGTTGAAGGCACTCTGCAGGATAATGATCATCTCGTGGCAATGCTGAACAACTTGGTAGTCCCAGCTGTGCGCAGCCACGAAGCCCCAGTGCGAGAGCGCGGCCTTGTCTGTCTCGGGCTCTGTGCGCTCCTTGACCGGCCCCTGGCCGAGGAGAACTTGACACTCTTCATGCACTTTTTCGCCAAGGGACACTCCGCCTTGCAGATCACAGCTTTGCATATCCTTACGGATATTCTGAATGTGCACGGGGCACAACTGCTCGCCAGCAATTCTGCGCTGCTCAAGGTCTACATCAAGGCGCTGAGGTCGGGCTCCAGAAACCCCGAAGTTCAAGGCGCCGCCGTCGTAGCAGTGTCGAAACTGCTGCTGGGCCGGGTTGTGACGGACCATGATACCTCGGCCGAGCTTCTAAAGACGCTCGTGGTGGCATACTTTGACCCTTCAACAGCGGGAAACCAGAGTGTCAGGCAAGCTTTGAACTACTTCTTGCCTGTCTTTTGCTATTCGAGGGCCGAAAACCAAGAGCTGATGCGCTCAGTGGCGCTTGATGCACTTCATGCTCTGTACAACGTCAGAGAAGGGCTGGAAGATGATGATGCCGACGTCAATGAGGAGATGGCTAGTCTGACCATAATCGGCGCGTGTCTGGTGGACTGGACCGACCCGCGGAAGTGCTATCAGCCTGGCATGTCAATGGATGCCGAGAAGAGGAATGTCAATGGTGACATACATCTTGACCTTGCCACCGACGTTTTGGAGAGGTTAGACGGCAACATTAGTAGTAAGTCGTTAACGTCCAAGACTACCAGTGTCTCGAAAAGTGCTGACAAACTGCTACAGAGGACGAGAAGAAGGTGGTTGCCACATTGTTGGGCAAACTATACGTATCACCGGCTTCGTCGGAGGAGAAGATTCGGAGCTTATACGAAGATGTAAACGCAGCTGTCGAAGGAAATCTCCTCTCCGACGCGACAAGCAGGAACGCCCTCTACAAGATTCACGTAAGCCTTGGCAAGATTGTGAATCAGCTGAGCGAGCAAGTCAAGGGTGGTGGTAGGAGGAGCACAAGCCGGAGTATGAGTGTTTCTGTGGCAGGCGATGAGAAGACGGCCAGAGAGGATAGCGTCATGACGCAGCCGTTAATCAAGGAGGAAGAGGTTTCTGATAATGATGACGATGACGACGATACCAATGACCGGAGCAACGACACGGTAAGGCAGCCAGGTGAGATGGATGAGTCCTCGTTAGTGCAGGAGTTACTCTCCGATGCGGAAGAATAAAGATTGTGAGGCAAAGATTATTTATTTTTATAAATTTAAAAAGATAATATCATTAAAATGTGGTAATAATTCTACGTGTGCTTTTACGATTTAATTATTATAATCAAGGTTGCAATTTAGTTAATTAATAATTAATTAATGTTAATTAATTAATAATTACGTTTAATTTAATTTTTAATTAATTAACGTTAGTTTTTTAAAGTGCTAACTAAAATTATATTAATATAATTAGCATTTTAATTAAAACTAAATAATTTAGTTAAACCCTTAATTAAAACTAAATTAATTTAATTTAGTTAATAACTAAATTAATTAAATAACTAACGTATAAAATAAAAAAATAATTATTTTTTATTTATTTATTAATTATTTTATTTATAAAAAGTATTTAAAATAAAAAGGAAATAAAAGGAAATATAAAAGAATAAAAGGAAATGAAGGAAATAAAAGGAAATAAAGGAAATAAAGGAAATAAAAGGAAATAAAGGAAATAAAGGAAATAAAAGGAAATAAAAGGAAATAAAAGGAAATAAAAGGAAATAAAAGGAAATTAAATAATTACTCCTCCTTTTTAATAAATTTCCGGTTATAAAAATTTTTATATTTCCCTAACACTTTTTAAACCTTAATTTCTTAATAAAGTTAGTGTTATGGCTTGGATACCAAGGTATAATCCCTAGTGTATCGGGACCTATTTACTTAAGTATTACGAGCTTTCCGCTTAACTTTTTAGGATCTAAGTCTCAGCTTTATATTTTACCTACCCCTACCTATATAATATTAGATCGTATTTGATTACTTATTAATCCGATTGTTGTGATAGTTAGTTATTTAACGGTTTCCGGTGGTAATTTATTTCGTAATTTAGAAATAATATAATTTAACGTAGAAAAAACCCGTTTTAAAACAGCTAAAAAAGCTAGAATACCTAAATATTACCGAGTTAAAATAGCTAAAATTAAATATTTATATTAGTTATTTTTCTAATAAACCAATAAATCGTCCTGTTTAAATAATTAATTAG